GATGCTGCTAATTACAGAACAGTGTAAAAAATGATCTGGAGGACAGATCCAAGGACTTGAAGTCATTGGCCATACCCTACTGTGAGAAACCATCACTAGAAATGAGTTCTATTTAAACTTTTTGATATTAACTTTATTCCCTGACAACTATATTTCCATAAATCAAAGTTAAAGAAAAGAAAATCGTTTTGAAAGCTAAAGCAGGCACCTTGCATTATCAAGGCTGTCTGGTTGAATTATCGCCACCAACCTTTAGGTCCAACCAAAGCAACTAACTGCACTATATTTGATCTTATTTTTTTAATCTTCAATACCCATGGTCACCACAATTCATGTCTAATCAGATGGAAATAATTATGGAAAGATGAACTGATTAGTTGCAACCAGACATCTACATGTAGCTAACAGATCTTATATAGGGAGGGATAAATTTACCACTCACTCTGAGCCTCTGCTATAACTATAGTTGGTCTATTTAAAAAGCCAATTATCTCTATTTTATAACATGCAATTAAAAAGAAGCGGTCAATTTAGGTAATCTTTTAATTTTAATGATTGTGGCAGAATGCCTATCACTAACACTGTAGTTAAAGTATCACTTCCTATATGCATTTTCTAATGTTGCAGACACAAGCTTCATGTTATGTGAGATAGGCAAGCAAAAGCATTTCCAGCTCTGTAAAATGTAAAGAAAAGGATAACCTTTTTTAATCAAAAAAAACAAAACACAACTGAATAGTGTGGTGTACACATTTTTTTCTGCTTGTCACTGCAAATATAGCTGTGCTTTTGCATATACCTGCTTTGCCTGCTGAGAGGATACAATTTTTTTCATGTTGTCCTTTGCAAAATAGCTAAAAAAAAAATAGCTCAGTCAGATTGGTTTGTGAGCATCTATGAATGTCCATATTCAAGTCCTGCGACCCATATATGGATTCATTAAGGTCAGGACTTTGTAAGAGCTCACATAAATAGGAATAAACTTGGATCAAAACTATTCCACTGTAGCATTTAATGGATTCAGCTCTTTTGTGCCATGAACTCTGATCAGTGTTTCTGCTTAGAACAGGCATCCCCATGCATAACGGGTATGGAAAATGTTCAATTTGCAAATCAACTTTGTGTTCTTGGTCCTTATGATTTAGTTTTTCTAATGTTCTTTAAATGCAGCTTGTGTGACAACATGTGTTTTAGACGTATCCAAGATTGAAAAAGAACAAACTGAAGAATATGAGAATTGTGCTAAATTACAGTGGATCTGAATTACATGTGATCTGAATAAACGTTCCTAGCTGCTCCGCTCAGTGCTCCCAAAGGCTCCTCTGAACCCAGAGAAATACAAGCAAGGCAAAATAATATCAGGGTTCCAGGCAGGATTCTATTCCAGCATCGGGATGAGGTTGGGAGCTTTACATGCGCAGAACAATTTCAGTTTCAGCCCACCTCTTAACAAATCAGAGCATCTCCATGTGACAAATAGCTCATTATGTTCCCTCACTGCACAGATAGTTAGATAGCATATTCGCATCATTCAGAAACGCACTTAAATGTTGCTACTCTGCAGCTTTTTTGTGTTTCTTCATGTTGCAATATCAAACTTTATAGACTGTGTAAATTCATAGCCACCTGGGTAATGGCAAGCACAAAAAAAACTTAACTCGAGAGTCTGGTTGCTTCTGATTTATGCATGTTTTGCGATCAAACTTTAATGTGTTTTATTTGGATTAAGTGTAATAGGTTAAATCACAGCAGTGGATAAATGTGAGGTGGATAAAACAATTATACACAGTTTTTCCAAATGTTTAAGATGTTTAAAAAAGACTCCTGTACACTAGACCTTCATCAGGAATGTAATAAAAATGGCTGCAGAGGACACTGGTAAAGACCTTCATCATGTATGCCTGATGAAGGTCTAGTACAAGAACACTGCAAATAAAAATGCCTTATGCAAGCTGGACAGTTTGTGGTCGTTTTTTAATTTTTTAATTTTGATCCCTTTTCTCTTATGCACCTCTCATGTTATTTTGATGTCCAAAGTGCACTATTAAATGGTAAAATAATGTAAAATCAGAACAGTGTGACATAGTGTATGTTTGTAATTAGCCCCTATAAACATGATACCCCTAAATGAGGTGCAATGCAACCAAGAGTTTTTCAGAATTCAAATCTCATAAATCCAGTTGTTCTGTAAAGGCTCCAGAAGTTTTTTTAAATAATTCAAAGCTGTCTATAAAGTTGTCCCATTTCTTTTTGATCCTTTTTGTTTATTATTGTTATTATTATAATTTTTTTCCCCGGTGTACTATGTGTTTTAAATAAGATAATTTGACAATAGAATGTGTGCATTTAGTCTTAATTTAAATATTAATATAAATGTAAATTGTCTTGTTCCATTGGCAAAGTGTTTCACATACCTCCTAAATTCAAGAAATATCAACTTCATTTAAGAAAAAATTACTTCTTTAGATAATTTTTTTTTTGCTGTACAAATAATCAGGTCAAATGTCATAGAAACACATTTTCCAATTTAAAAAATGTGATCTCTCTGCTTTGATCCCATTTTTATTTAAACTAGATTTCATAAAGTAATTCATGCAATTATAATTCAGTCTGCAGATCTCCTTTCAATAAGTACTGCTGCACGTGCACATTTAGCCAGCCCACTTCTTCATGTGGTTTGTATGAGATACCCAAGCAGGATATATAAAAAGAGGAATGATGATGATGTTGATCTATAATAACCATTGTTACATATGGAGGTTGACAGTTGAGATCAGCAAGCTTGAGAACTCCCTCCTTGCTGTGAGGTTCATCACCATCTTGTGACATCATTTCTTGTTCCTTTTTTCTACATCGCATAACTACAATATATCTCATTGTCTCTCAAAGTGATTTAGGGAAAATTATTCACATATTTTACTCATCACAGCTACTGTAATGCCCTCTTTACGGGTCGCAATAGATCTTTTATTTTACTCCTCCTATGCCTGACTTATTACAAAATCCTTATTATCCGATTAGATTTTCACATTTTTGTTCACACCTGTGGTGCTTCAAATGATTATTTGAGTCAACATTTTTTTTTCCCACTTCTTTTATATATTTCTCATATGTTCTTTTAATTTACAGTGTTTTGTGACTTTGTGAAATTGGCTTATAAAAAATGAACTGAATATGTTTTTTTTATTGCAGGAGGCTCTGGTGTGCTTCATAAAAAAAGATTGTCATTAGAAAATCTTTGGCACAAATGCGTAGTTAAAATGGGCAATGCCACTGACCATAGAATTATAACCGTTGCAATAAAAAGTCTATAATGGTAGATAGATAATATTTCGGAGAGGCTATCACAAAACCTCAATCTCAGTCCCATAATAATTTAAACAAATGCTTTAAGGGGAGCAAAGGGGTTACATTTCAAATTTTCGTCTTACAGTAAAATGTTAAAATAGTACGGTAATAGTAAAAAAAAAAGGTGTCAGCTTCTTAATTTGAAGAAATAATTCTGAACAAACAGACATGATTTGATGATCCAAAGTGAATTCAAAGTAAAACAGTGTTTATAAATATCTAATGTAATCTGGCATGTTTATCTGACATTAAAAAAGACAAAACCTTCACACTAGTAAGGTGATTTTTCTATGGGACAAGTGATAATGGTAAAATTAGATTTTATCTATTTTTAGAAAGAAATCTAGATCAGAGTAACTAAAAAAAATGATTTATTTAATTACTATCTTACATCCCTTTTGAATCCTTCTGGAATTACTTTAAAGAACCTTCATAGAAATCTTTATACTTAGAACAAACATCTCTTCCGGTTATTAAACTTAAACAAACCAAAAGGAAATGGCTTTGAGAATATAACAAAACCAATTGCTTTTCATTTTCAGCAAACCTAATCTGACTTTTTTAACACCCATGGGAACTTTGAAGAATGCCACTGTTCACTTTTGCTGTTGACCTAAATGTTTGCTTTTTCAGGTTGATATGAGAGGTGCTGGAGATTTTACACCTTTCTTAGGCTTTCAGGGTCATTGAATCTTTGCTTGAATGTGCCTCTCGCTTTTTCAGAAACATGGAGGATATAGCTAAGGTCATGCTAGAGGACCTATAGCTTTAAAAATAACACTTTAAAGACTGGTAGCTGATGCCAAATATAAATCTGTCATTTTTTATCCTTTCCTAGGACCAAACATCCATACTAAAATGAACAAAGATTAACCTTCTTTTTTGATTGTGTTCTTCTTGCTCTCATTCTCTTCCACCGTAACGCTTTGGTCAAAATTATAGGTTGCAGCATTTGTATATTTTTTCAGATAAAATTATTGTTGTTGAATTAAACTGCAAAAAAAAAAAAGAAAAAGCGCTGAATGTTGGAAAACAGTCTTATGTTTAAATTTGATCACCATGTTTACATTTTATCAGTGCCACACTTTAAGAAATGGAAATGTCTTGAGAGCTATACTGAATGAAATTTTGTTTCGTATACACCGTGTGTACAAAATAAAAATTTAAATAAAGTTTGTCTACGTCTATTGTTGTTCATTTTTACACATTTATTTCATTCTATCTATCCAAGTACTGCTCTCATAACAGAGCCACTTACTCTCTGCTGGAAGGGTCAGAGGAAGGTGACATGTATCTTAGAATGCATGAAAGATTTTTTTTGTAGCAGACACTTTGACCTCCTGAATTATTAAAGTTTTGCAAGCTTCTCCAAGAAGTGCATCATATGACGACTGCTTCGTGGTGCCAGATTGCTTGGAGGATCCGGCTGAAATGATGTGCCAAAACAAGAATTTTATTTTGATTTATTTTGATTATGCAAATTTTTGCTATACTTAATCTTAAATTCCTAGATTATTTGCACATTGAAATACACAAAGCAACCTTAAAATATTTCAAATGGTGGTACATTTTTGTTGTTTTGGATTTATTTTGCATTTATTTGCACACTTATAAAACTAAGAGTTAGACCCAAACTGTTCCCTCATGCTCACCTCAGTCCGTATAGTACTGTGCCATCAGGGTGTAACCGGATCATGCGATTTTTCACAGTCACACCATGAAGAAAGGACTTCTTGTCATTAAGGAAGTAGGTATCAGGGAGCCACAGCTGGTCTGCTACACGATTATCTAAAGTCAGGTTTAGGTTCAGCTCTCCGTAGGCCAAACGTTTGTCTCTCCAGCTCTGCTGGAAATACATTGTGATAGTGTAGTCCTGAAAACACAGAAAAAGAACCACATATAAATGCACTGAATTGGAAGGAAGGAAGGAAGGAAGGAAGGAAGGAAGGAAGGAAGGAAGGAAGGAAGGAAGGAAGGAAGGAAGGAAGGAAGGAAGGAAGGAAGGAAGGAAGGAAGGAAGGAAGGAAGGAAGGAAGGAAGGAAGGAAGGAAGGAAGGAAGGAAGGAAGGAAGGAAGGAAGGAAGGAAGGAAGGAAGGAAAGTGCGAGCTTTTCTGTGACTGACTGTGGATTCCAATTAGCAGGAGAGTATGGACTTGTGTTCTCGCCAAATAGGTTCTTGACCAGAACATATGACACGGGAAGAACGGGAGCACAAAAATAAATCAATGTCAATTGGAATGGAAGCGTACTCGGCTTGTCTGGAGCTGCATTTTACATCTTACTATTAATGGTCTCTAGATGAAAATAATAATAATAGAGATAAACACTAATCAAATTAAAGTTTTGCCAAAAGAAAAAAAAAATGCCATAAGAGCCAGCAGTACTTCACACATGGCTATGTTGAGAGATGGCTGCTGCAGGTGGGTTAATGTTAGCCCTGACTGAGGTTAGCCTAGATTCCCCACTGGTTGCAATGGTCCTCTTAGCATCACAACTTTCTTTTAAATTACACACTAAATCAGTACAAGTATAATGTTCTCACTTAAAATGCTTTTAAGACATACTTTTATAGAACAACAGCAACAGAAAAGTTAACTTAATACTCTAAGCTCTGTGAAATTTTGTCCATTCTTGTTCTTGTTTTCTTGTAAATTGGAGCGGTGCTGGGGCTTAGGCTGATAAAGATTCACGAACACAAGAGAACGCAGATATTCACATATTGAGAAACGGCTTTAGCTACAGAAAAAACTAAGTTGGGAGAAAGACCTGATACAGTAATTTAACTCCTTAGAAATCAGCCATACGGCATATTTCTCTGGTCAGTCTGCCTCTCTGGCTGCATGTCAATAAGGATATGCTCTCATTCACAGAAACAATGCGTGATCAATATTTGCTGATGCGCTGATGGCTCCATGTACTCTTCCTGGTGTCTCTGTGGGTTGAGGTGGACCTCCCTTGCTAGTGTCACATTGATATACTGGACGTCAGCCTTGTGGACCACATATTTAATCCGAGAGTTAATGTGAAAACTGACTCCTCTAGGTTGGGTACAAAGACAAAAATTACCCAAGACCAAGAAGTATGTAACTCACCATGTTTACTTCTGAGATGGAGTCGATACTGGCTATATTGATGCTCATCCCTACAATGACTGGAGGACCTGGAGGAGCAAAGAAACACTTATCAGTGAAAATCAAAAAACCTTTTACATCTTATCATCTTTAAATAAGCTTTCATCTTTGTAGGTTAGGAATAATTTTTCATATTTGACACGATAGTTCAAACAAAAAAAAAACATGAGGTCTTTAAAACTGGGAATAATTTTCTATTTTTTATGTATCCTGCTTTTATAGTGTTCAATTTTTTGTTTCATTGATGCTGTTTGTTCATGTTGGCTTTATATAAAAAAAATCATCTTCTCTTTGAGCATTTTACATAAAAAATAAAAAAAACCAAACTGAAATAGAGTGATTGATAAAGTTAGAGAGGTATAATTACTTTTGCAACACAGTACTCATACAAGATCCTATAAAAAAGTCATTATTCTTATGAACCAGTAAGGGTATTAAAAAGACAAGCATTATATTACCGTCTAACCATAACCCAAAAACTATTTTCTATAAAGTATGCTAAAGGCAGCAGGAACAAAAGGCAGTATGAGAAATGCATTACCCTCACAAGCTTACCAAATTACCCAGAGAGAATGCACCCATCCGTACTAATTTCTATGTTAGGAACCCATGTTAGGGAACAGGAAGAGCAACCGTTCCTCATCTCCATAATTACAGTATGTGTTGCAGATATGTAAGCAGTTATGCATGATTATATCTCGAAATGTACAACAACGCTCAGTCCATTTCAGCTTGCATAAACTTGCTGTTTACAAGTACAAATCCATTCACCAGCAGCCAGTGAGCACTTCAAACTGAAACTGGGTTCTGTATGAATGTTACCAGAAAAACAAATGAATATAAGCAAGCTTAAGGTTTTTGGATGTGTCAAAGCCAAATGCATAATTACCATAGTGTATATTTTGATTTATTTAATAAAAATGATGAGGAAGCCCGGATTTGTGCCTTAAAAAGTTGAAGTACCACTACCAAACAAATGCGCTCAGTTCTTTTAAAGTGACTTGTTAATAATACAATCATAATTTTGCTTCTAAAAGTTCCAGAAAAATCCATAAAGGATATTTCCTAATGCATGATGGCCCTTTCAAAGGGGAGTCAGAACCATATTTTCTGGGTGTGAACAGAGGTGACTGTCACTTTCAGTGACTATATGAATGATTATTTCCTTTCCGCAAATAAGCCTCTCCCCACTCCCTTCTTTCTCACTTCCACTGTCGCCTTCGCTTTGCCTGAGCAAAACACAAAATGCTGACACTGAAGACAGAAAGTACACAACTGCATAGCAAATGTGGCAGCGCTGAATCAGGATTTTTTTTTTTATAATGTAACTTGGTTTTATAGTAGAAAATGGCATTTTTATGGCGATCATAAACAACACAGGAACAACTCATGCTAGAAGATTGTGCACACATGCACACACACACACAACACATATACACACATATATACATATATATGTGTTTATGAAACAGATATATTGTAGCGATATTTCTATTCCTGCCAATAGTGATCAGTGCTAACTCCAGATCTGTCTTCCCTTCATTGTTAACAAATTTATATTTTTATCTCCTGGGCACAATTTTCACAAATCAAAATTGGAAGGGCATCTCCTGCTTTTGGTCAATGTTGGTTTTGGTTAAAATGCCAAAAACAGCGGGACAAATCACCCGGTAAACATAGGTAAGGTGTGATACCATTCCGGAGCTCAGACAGGAGCAAGAACATCGGTGGTAATCGGTGCAAGAACACAGGCTCAGAGAACTTCATAACCGGGACGAGGTGGCCAGCCTGTCCCCACCTCTGGAGCTAAGGAACCACATTGGTATATGTGGGTCCTTCTTTCTCAGAAGGAGACAGGAAGAGCACATCGGCGATTGGATAAGCCTGCTGGGCAAAGATAGAGCTGAAAGTGGGGGAGAGGCTATGCTGTAGGACAGTGGTACATCAGAAAAAATTGCCAGCGATACAGAGCAGGTAAATGCAAGGCTAGCCTCTAGGCTAACTGTGGGAGATGGAAGGAAGACAGGGGTGGATCAAAGAAACCTACAGGGCAGACAGAGCGCCAGAGAGAAGGCAGAAGCTGGCTGGTGTCTGCTTTGGAGGTAGGATGACAAAACAGTCCTTCTAGGGCATTTACCTGGGTTGGAAACGCCAGCCACAAACCACTTAAAATCATTTCCCACTTCACCATTTGTCAACATTATTTTTTCTATCTTCTATTTTGATTAAATAAAGCATGTCTCCACTGCCTGCTTCACTAAAAAAATGGTAAATCCATGATACTTTCTCATCTCCTAATTATTATACTTAACAATTCATTGTCAATGTGCATGAGACAACAGTATTAAACAACTTATGGATTTGATTCTGTAATTGACAATATCTGGATCTGCAGATACTAGTGATTGATGATTGGATCCCCAAAATCCTGATTGGTGCATCTGTAGGAACAATGCAAGAGACTGACGACCCTCTAAAATAGATATTCAATTAATTACTTCCCTTTATATTTATTGTTTATATAAATATGAGGTAATAATATAAATTTTTGAAATAATTATTTCTTCAAATGACATAATGTGATTAATAATAAAAAAATTTTTTCATTTAATGGCAGATTGTGCATTTTATAATTTAATGATTTAGATAAATACATATTACATCTTATTGATGGTACTTTTATTTGTCACATGCATATGTTTGTATCATGATTTTAGCCCTCCATGTTCCATCAGTGGGTCCTCGAGGGCCGCTGTCCTGCAGGTTTTAGAAGTTTCCCTGCTCCAGCACAGCTGATTTACATTGATAGTTGATTAACAGGCTTTGGCTGAACTGCATTTATCAGAATCAGCTGTGCTAAAGCAGATAAACCTCTAAAACCTGCAGGACTCTCGATGACCGACTTTGGGGATGCCTGCTCTAGATTATTAAGCTGTAAACCAACTAAATACAAATGGCAGCATTTTACTCTTAATTATCTCTTTTTTACTGATGACTAACTTTTTTTTTTCTTCTTTTTTCTTGCTAACCAGCATCGCCCTAAAGCTTTCTCATATTAGGGTCAGCAGGGTTGGGTTGACGGGTTTAAGTAGTGCTATGTACTTTGAGCACTTTGTGAAGGCAATCAGTACCAGTTTTCCCTTGAGATGTCAAAGTGCAAACATTTTTCTGAGTGAAAACAGAAAGTCCTGAATATACTGTACTTTAGCATATTTCAGCTTCAGCCCTTCCTCTATGTAACAGAAGCAATACATTTGATCTTGCTTTTATCAAAGTAAGTTATTCAAGCTTATATCTCCAAGTAATATTTACAAAACCATACATTTGGTGTGCACATTTTTATGATGCAGGAATCCATATAAAGAAAATATGCTGCCAGGAGAAGGGGATATAATGTCCTGAAGCGCAGTGCGTTTTTTGTAAAAAAAAAAAAAAGAAATAACAAAAATGGGTGTTAACGCTCTCAGGAATGTTTCTTCCAGGAAGAAGCCAAATGTGTTGACATGCCCCGGTTTTTCTGACGGATGCTGGCCAACGTCTCAGCGGGAGGAGCTTCAAGCAGATGTCAGATTAAGCGTTGGAAAATAGATGTGTTAGACTGCAACACAAACGTGGAGACCAAACACCACAGTCTAGTCTGTCCTTTTTCTAACAGCGCTGCCTTGTGTGGTTCTCGATTAACCTGGCACAGCAACAATAGTAAGGGGAATTTTCCTTTAATCAAATTAAAGGTGTGCTGTGAGGTTTTGATGGCTATAAGTAGTGGCAGAAGGCGGTTCACTTTTTCCACCCACATGAACCTTCTCCTGCCCATGCCTGCTGTGAGCAATAACTGGCTGCAGATAGTGATTACGGTTTTTAGCAGAAATGCATCACAGTGGTAATAATGATAAGAATGTGGTGATAAATTACATTTACCTGGAGCACTATTATGATGATATGAGGATGGCAGAACATGGAATTCTTTATTAAAAGACATTCTATATGGTCGCCCTTATTAATATAGAAAGGGAACAAAGTTAAAATTTGATATTTACATACACTGTGTAAGAAGACGCTTAACTCTGTTTCCTTCTATTTCTAATAAATCAAAACATTTCAGCCCTGCAATTAATTAGGATTACAAACATTAATTCCTAAATGCAATAACAATAATAAAAACACAACCCCTTTGAATAAACTGGGAACTTTAAGGTTTATTTGATGGTGAAACCTCATGGCATGTTTTGGTACTGTAGGTATCAAGACATGATACCTTTGTGACATCATAGGAAAACAGGAAATCCACCTGCCTGGATCAACTTTATCGGTAGAAACTAACTTTCTGCAGCAACAGTCTTGGTTACATCAGGTAGGTCTAATCCAGCTTTTATTGTTAACTACAGTGTGTGCTCTACTGAGCCCACAGAATAAGAGAGTAAGACTAAGTTTTGATGCAAGCAGTTAAAATGCTGACATTTTGGTGAATAGCCTATTACCCACATCACTTAAAGATTGACTGCTTCAATTTTACTCTTTTTTTTCTTTGACATAAAACCAACTTCCTCTGATCTACTCATAGTCTAATTAAAATTAGGTGATCTAACTAATAATTGTGTCTACCAACTAATGTTTTAATGTTCTAATGTTCAACTAATGTTCTAATTGTTTTTTTTTTTGGCTTGATCAGGGATCATATTTTCAGTCTATTATATTAAAACAGAAACACAGACTGTGCAAAAACCATCAATTTAAAATCTTCCCCAGAGAGAAGAAAATCTCACCACCTACCAGAGCGTTGTCTTAGCAGCATTTGACAGATTAACAAACATGAGGACCGAGCAAAGAGATAATAGGTGAAAATAAGGATTTAAACAGTGGATATAAAGGATGCGTATGATGATCTTGCATGTAGAATTGTAAATCAGGATGCCATATAGCTGATTAAGTGTATGCTGGTATGCTTCTCACTAGGGGTTTAACTAATGTTTATTTGGCTAATCGAATAATCTGTCAATCACTTTTTTGATTAATTCATTAATAATCTGAT